CACAGTGCAAGCTGTTGGTGAATTTCCCATTCTGGGGTCTGTAGGATGGTGGTCCCCTTCTCACAGTTCCACTAGACAGTTCCACAGTGGAGACTGTGTGGGAGCCCCCACCCACATTTTCTTTCCCCATTGCCCTAGTAGAGGTTCTCCATGAGGGCTCTGTTCCTGCAGCACACCTCTGCCTGGATGTTTTTATGCATCCTCTGAAATCTAGGTAGAGGTTCCCAAACCTCAATTCTTCTGTGCACATGCAGGCTCAACACCACGTGTAAGCCACCAAGGCTTGGGGATTGCAATCTCTGAAACAACGACCTGAGCTGTACATTGGCCCCTTTTAGTCACAGCTAGGATGCAAGACACCGAGTCCCGAGACTGTGCAAAGCAAGAAGGCCTTGGGCTTAACTCATGAAACGATTTTTTCCTCCTAGACCTCCTGGCTTGTGATGGGAGGTGCTGTTGTGAAGAAGTATATCTCTGACATACTCTGGAGACATTTTCCTCATTGTCTTGGCAATTAATATTTGGGTCCTCATTACTTAGGCAAATTTATTCAGCTAGAAAAGGGTTTTTGAATTTCTCCTCAAGGAAAGGGATTTTCTCTTCTATTGTTTTATCAGGCAGAAGATTTCCCAAACTTTTATGTTCTGCTTCCCTTTTAAACATAAGTTCCAATTCCAAACCATATCTTTATGTAAGAATAAAACTGAATGTTTTTAAGAACTCCCAAGTCACATCTTGAACACTTTGCTGCTTAGAAATTTCTTTCACCAGATACCCTAAATCATTTCTCTCAAGGTCAGTGTTCCACAGATCTCTAGGGCAGGGACAAAATGCTGCCAGTCTTTTTGCTAAAACATAGCAAGAATCTCCTTTGCTATAGTTTCCAGTAAGTACCTCATGTCCATCTGAGACCACCTCAGCCTGTACTTTTTGGTCAAAACCATTCAACAAGTCTCTAGGAAGCTCCAAATTTTCCCACACCTTCCTGTCTTCACCTGAGCCCTCTAAACTGTTACATTCTCTGCCTGTTACCCAGTTCCAAAGTCACGCCCACATTTTCAGTTATCTTAATAGAAGTACCCCACCATATTGGAACTAATTACTGTATTAGTCTATTTTCATGCTGCTATGAAGAAATACCCAAGACTGGGTAATTTATAAAGAAAAAGCAGTTTAATGGACTCACAATTCCACATGGCTGGGGAGGCCTCCCAATCATGGTAGAAGGTCAAGGAGGAGCAAAGGCATGTCTTACATGGTGGCAAGCAAAAGAGCACGTGCAAGGGAACTGCCCTTTATAAAACCATTAGGTCTCATGAGACTTATTCACCGTCATGAGAACAGCATGGGTAAAACCCACCCCCATAATTCAGTTACATGCCACTGGGTCCCTCCTGTGACACATGGAGATTATGGGAGCTACAGTTCAAGATGAGGTTTGGTTGGAGACACAGGCAAATTATATCGCCTCTATCTGTATGTAATTTTGCCACAGAAAAGTCATTAGTTTTTTATTCTAGTAGGAGAACAAAGAGTTTAGATAATAGCGTAAGATATATTGAATTGAATAAACACCAACTGATTTCCCATTCATTACCCCTACAAGAATAAAGACTGTCCTGTAATTAAAAAGTTCTTCAGTTTAAAACGGTGCTCACTGAATTAGTAGGCATCTGACATTCAAGGATAGTAGGAAGATATGATCCCCTTGTCGGCTACCTTTCTTACATATTATGACATATTTTCATACTTGTCTCTACTGCCTACTCTACTTTCTAAATTGTTTTACTGTTGTTGTTGTTGTTAAGTGACCTCTGTTAATCATTGGGAATGCAGTGTTTACGATCTTGCTTTAGCTGAGCATCAGCAAGGATCTTCAAAATCTTCTGCTGACTTACATTATACTGTATCAGTCACATAATTATTCTGTTAGTACCAGTTAAATGCATGAGGACAAATTTTATGTATGTATGTGTGAATGTATTTATTTATGTTTTCTTTTTCAAAGTCATTAAAATAATCTATAAAGCTTTCATTTTTCTCCACTTACCTAGAAAAATTTTCCCCAACCTTTCCCTACTAATAATAACTATGTTTACCAATTTTGTGGCATGGGGATGTTATTATTAAACAAATAATGAACTGATTGTAGAGATGCTCAAATCAGTGATAATTCATTAAAAAAATAAAATTATAACTGAAGTATGTGGTGTTTCCTTTGGAAAGTACAAAGGGAAGCTTAGCTACAAATGATTTATTCTCTGGACACTAGTATTTGCTTTCTTTTTCTTTTGAATGTTGTTAGGCTGCAAGAATGAGTTAGTAGTGCCACAGAAGTTGCCAGAACTAAAAACTAGATTTTCTTGACTACTTCATTCTACAGATATGTTATAGGAGTGTGCATGATAGATACTGTGCAAGTAAGCACTGAAGAAATAATAAATACTGCACACATGGTAATACAGTATTTGACCTCATAGAGGGAGATTTGGAGTTTGAAGGCAAATGATCAAATTTGCAATTACAAGTTCAATGCTTCTTCCTAAAGGGCATGCTTCAGGGCTACAACACATGTAGTCAGGTGTCCCAACCTAACTTGATGACATCAGGGAATACCTTCTGAGGAAGGAACGTTCCTGCTAAGAAGATTCCATTAATTGGTAATGATTAGCTAAGGAACGATAGAGATGAGGTGGGAGCAACGGAGAGTATTTCCCATAAAGGAAGCTACGGGTGCCAAGGTCCAGAGAGAAGAAAGAAAAGCTTTAGAAGAATTGAAAAAAAGTATCATAAGGATAAAAAGAGCAGAGTGAGGCAGTGATGACCGTGAGAGGGGACAGGGAGGTAGGAAGGGACCAGATTATGGAAGTACTTATAAACTTCACTAAGGGGCTTAGATTTCATCCTAAGGGAAATGGAAAGGGTTATACTAGACAAGTGGCATGATTAGATATTGGCTGATATGTGGAAAATGGCTGTGATTAATTGCAGAGAAGATGCAGAGAGATCTGTCAATAGTCTGTAGTAGTAATTGGGCAAGAGGCATTTGTGACCTAGATTTGGATGGTGTCTGAGAGAATGTGGGTCATTCCTGGTGACTGGAACACTCTAGCATGAAAAACATGAGGAGCCACCTAATCATACAGCTGTCAGAAGTGTTATACCAGTGTGAGTTGGTATGAGTATTGAGTGAGAAGGAAGACTATAGAGCAAAGGGTATGTATTTTTGAAAAATTTTGTAACTGCTTTTCAAATTACACATGTAAAACATGCTTATTATATAAAATCACATACAAGCCAAAAATATGTAATTGATCAATAATCACACTGTCCTAAAGTAACTAGTTTTACGTTTTTTTTAAATTTCCAAATATGCATACATGCAAACACACAAAAGAGAACACAAGTTGTGTACACTTTTAAAAAACGAAGACAGGGTTAGAATTTTCTACCATTAGTGTCCTTTTTAAAAAATTATTAGTTAAACAAAACTATATTCCCATATTATAAAATATTATTTTACAATGTTTTAATGATCACATAATACAGAGAAATACATATTAATGTTTTCATTAAACTTTATATTTGCTTTGACTTTGATATTTATACTTTAAATTAAATATTAATGTGTGGAATATTTTCATCTATATAGACATTCAAATGACAAATTGATGAGGTCTGAAATATAGTTCTTTTCTATCTCTCCAAAAGTGTGTAATCAGCATTATGGTGGGTTTATTGTGGTAAGTATAATATATCGTAAGAGTAGTAAAAGAAAGCATTTATAAATTATTCTAAATCAGGGGAATAAAATGTAAATATATTCATTTATCTTCTCTAACAAAATGCTCCACTCTTTATATATAGGTAGTACTACCATTCAACATTTCCTTCACCTCTGAGTCCTCATCTGAGCTAACGCTAAAAGGGCTTAGCTCAAATTTCCATGTTAGTTAATTCTAATGGAATAGAAAATCTCATCTTGCATTATACACAATTGAGCACCGAGATGGCATCTCAGATTCTTCCTAAGTGCTTTACAGATCAAGAAAACACTCATCTATTTGCAAGCAATAGTCAAGGTCAATTTAAACACTGTTTCTAGGAGATAATTTTTTATTCAAAGAAGCAGGGCTCTCACTTAGTTTAGATCTATGAATAGGGGCCACTGTTTGTGGCTTATATTTCTTCCTTAAGCTGTCATGCTTTTAAAGAATAACTTAATAAAAAGCAGATACTTGACTATATAAAAACATACGTATAGTTATTTTTCAAATGTTATTTGCTTCAACATGTTTAAGCTTTAAATGAAACTCAAGGACATTCAAATAAAGTCACTTTTGTCAAAGCCTTTTCCTGTAATAACAAATCTGGATGATGCAAGATGTATTCTCTTGTGATTTCCAAGTGATTGATAAACCAATTTATGTGAAATACACAAGAATTATTTGGACTTTGTTGTTTTCTTCAATGAAATGAATAAGAATTTCTGTTTTCTGACTAGAAAATAAAGTATGCTAGGCCTATTTTAGATGCTTCATTGTGCCAAAGATGGTATTAAGTTTGGTGATCATAAATTATTAATCTTGAATAAGAGGTTGAATGTATTTTGAAAACTTAAACCTGTTTCACCTGAACATGTTTAACTAGTTAATAAGAAACATCAAAAAGACAAAACCCTGAGGTCAATGGTCATTTTTTGTAAAGCTATTATATGCTGTTTAAATTGGTTGTTTGGGTCTGTCTATAACATAAGTTTAATAACCTAGCTCAAATGCAGATTTCTAATTTTCAATTAACATAGGAATAATTTTGTTTGCTAAAATAAAATAAATGAATGAATGACAAGTCTGAAACATGAAATGTTCTAGGTAGAACTTTTTAAAATTCCAAATTTCAAAAAATCATGTGGCAACTGTATAGCTCAAGCTTTAAGTATTAACTTTTAACCTTTGACCTTACAGATTTTAACCAATGAAATGTCTCTTTAAACTTTAAAGGAAACAATGATAACGAGCGCCTGGCGATTGCTAGACAGCGAATTCCATATCGACTTGGTCGAGTAGTTGATGAATGGCTACTCGACAAAGGTAAAAAACATTGATTAAAACTTCAAATAAAAAAATAATTTGAACATAACCAAGTAGTACTTCATTGTAACACTAATAAACATAAAAAATAAATTTTCCGTAAAACTAAATTAAAAACAAATTTAAAACAGTAAAATGTAGTTAGTAATATTTGCATACCTTGTATAATAATTTCTATACATTTTTAGACGTACCAGCTGTTTAATAATCTTACCCAGTTAACTTAAGGTTAAAGGGACTGTTAAATATAATCCACTAACTCAATCTATGAGGGTACTCACAGCAAGCATTAACCCAAAATGATAAATCATTCACAGATTATATTACATGTTCCAGCCTCTAAATTATTAACTAAAATATATGTAGTTCTGATATCTTTATTATGGTCCTGAAAAAAAAAAAACTCTTTGTTTAAACTCTAGGAATCTTAAATAGTGGGCAATATGAATTGCCAGTCATAATGAAGTCCCTTTAACGTTTGCAACATTCTAAGAGGATTTGGGAACAAGCCCTAATTAAAACTGAACTTAAAGTTGTGTGCATGCTTTTATGAGCAGAGAACAATCTGCTAAAACTGGATACTCAATTTGATGATAATGGTACTATTGTTAAGGATTGCTGTTTGATGGAAATGTGCCATAATTTCTCCATCGGTTTGTGTATCATTCCTGAAGCCGCTTTTTACATCCGAAGCTATTTTTTTTTCATTTTGTTTTGTTTTGATAGACTTGCTGAAAGCCAATCAGAAAAATATTTTTGGAATTTTTTTGTCTCTGACATGCTCAGTGTAAACCATGCATTTCTTTTCAGTGTGATTTCCGGAAAAATAGAATAATCCAAATAACAATGAATGATTGCCTTCAAAAAATAAACAATACTAAAGAATAGCATATAGATATATGTGGACATTATGTGAATTATGAAATTTTTACCATAAAATTTAAATTAGATTTTAGCTACTATGTATTAGTTTCTGTCAGTAGTAATTTCAGAATGACAAATACTTGAAATGTTATCTTACATTTTTTTAAATTTAACAATTTAGAGTTAAGAGACCAACAATATAAGATCTTAACATAAAAGGGAAAGGGATCTACTAAAAACTGATTTGTAATATGTATCTTTGATTGGTCTTTTAGCAAAAGCACTACATTTACAATAAGTTGAGAATTTACAAGTATTTGCCAATAATTATGCATTTCATGGACACCTCATTTATAAGCAATGAATTATGAGCCAATTGCCTCTCTTATAGTTTATTGCTCTCATTATTCACCCCATGAAAGATATGTTTTATCATCCTTTGTAGATATAGAGTTCACAATCAACATTTTTGCATGTATGTAATATTATTTTTACAGGGCGTCAGCTCACAATCTTCAATAGCCAAGCAACCATAATAATTGGCGGGAAAGAGCAGGGCCAGCCCTTCCAGGGCCAGCTCTCTGGGCTTTACTACAATGGCTTGAAAGTTCTGAATATGGCAGCTGAAAACGATGCCAACATCGCCATAGTGGGAAATGTGAGACTGGTTGGTGAAGTGCCTTCCTCTATGACAACTGAGTCGACAGCCACTGCCATGCAGTCAGAGATGTCCACATCAATTATGGAGACTACCACGACCCTGGCTACTAGCACAGCCAGAAGAGGAAAGCCCCCAACAAAAGAACCCATTAGCCAGGTGAGCCTGTGGATTTCATTCCTTCCTTTTCATCCTATGTTATTTATGATAGTGGGCTTTTCTGCAGATGTGTCTTCTCTAAAATGGAACACTTTTCTGATCTCAGGCATTACAGCTTTTTTTGAGACTGGCTTAACATAATGCATTCTGTTTGAATATGAAATGTGTATACTTTTTCACTAGAGGTTTGTGGACTTTTTTATAAAAGATTTTGTTTTGGTTTGTCAGATGCTAAATGATAGTCTTGATTCAATAACCCTCCTCTAGCCCAAGCTGAGTGGATTGTCTTCTACTTACATAGGATTTTCATTTTTTAGTTTAAATGAAGAAGTTAATGAAATATTTGAAAAAAAAAACTTGTCTGTTTAAGCTCAGCACTTCAAAATAAAATGAAAGCAAATTTAAGCTTGGAAAAGATATTTCAATAGTATAATACTTCTATTGTATTTTGAAGTTTAAAAATTTTGAATTGATTCTTGGTGAATGTTGAGAACACAAACCCAAAATATGGGGTAAGATATTTTGTGTATGTGATTAATTTCCCTCACCTAGAATTCACTTTAATTAGTTTATTGTTCAATCTTGTCCCTAAAATTTTTGCAGAACATAATTTTTAAATGTGGCATTTGCAGATCTTGGAAGTATGTTAATTCAATCAAGATGTAATTATTGATTGCCTACTATGCACTGGTTTGGATAGCGGTGTTCCATCACTGAAGAGCACAGGAAAATTTTAAAAACCTTCTTCCAAATGCTGTTAGATGCTGTTCAAATACCATTCAATGCTATTAGATTCCTTTTGGTATTTATAGTCTTGGTACATATCTAGTTGTTAATTTTTTCAGAATTGTGTAATTTCCTTGGTCCAAAATTGATTGTTTCATTTTGTTCTGTTTTGCTAAGTTAGTAAGTGAGTATATTCAGTGGTGCCATTTAAAGCTTTTCCAAACACACAATCCCTACTTTTCTAGAAAGGTATATTCTGAAGAACCAATAATGACAATTATTTTTAAACTTGCTTTGATTTGTTGTGTTTGAAACAGACCTGCATCCGATTTGGAAGGAAATAATAGAAGGCAAATACTCTTTGTATCAGCACCGTAAATATGAGTTAACATATTTCCCAGAAAAAGAAGAAAATAGATTCTGATTTTTACTTTGAATGGGAAAGGGTGAGAGAAATAGAATAGAGAAATGTCCTAGGAGAAGAGGGATGGCCAAAAAATATGAATTCTGTAAATTCTTAAATGTAGTGTTGGATATATAGCAACTACATGGGCATTTATTTTTTTTTCTCTCTTTTCCTTTCCTATCTGCATTTGACTGCAAAGTAAAATGTGACGTCTTATAGGATTTTCACAAATATATATTTATCGATCACTTTCTACATGTGGAAGATACTTTCCTAGGGCATGAGGATATATTGGTAACAGTAAACAAAAACCCTTGCCCTCATGGAATATACACTTTAGTAGGAATATTTGCCTGGAGTGTGATCCTTTTGTTGATTTCTCTCTTGTTAGGATTTACAAGGTTGCCGGTAACATCATAGCACTTAGTTCCTTGGATAAAGACTTGTGACTTTGGACAGATTTATCCTTCCCCAATAGCTCCATTTAACATTCTTTGCTAATATTTCATTAATGATTTGTTATTTTTGTTGTAGATTTATGGTTCACTTAATGAGAAGCAAGTTATTAAAGTGAATCTGATACAGGAAAAACGAAACTCAAATACATTGATATACTTTATCTAAATTAACTCACAAGAGGACATTCAGAGTTAATACTTTTATGAATATAATTTGAAATAGTTATTTTTCTTAGTCGTCTTGTTTTATCATTAATGAAATTATAGTTGCCATGGCTCCTCTATAATCCATAGATGCCCCAAAATAAGAAAAAAATTAGCAGCATTGGTTTTATGTGTTTTGTCAATTAGTAACATATATTAAGAAATATTATTTTTAAATACAAAATAGCTATTTTATTTGAAAGCTTAATAGCTAGAAATGTAGAATTAAAGATGTATGCATTTAATAATATTAATTAATACAAAAGGTAAACAGTTAACTGGTCATTAATTGCCCATGAAAAGAGCCTCTTTTTTTTTTAAACTATTACATGTTTAAAGACAGCAGCAGTTTATAGAAGTAAATGATCTAATCAGTTAGTGAATAGTTGGTTCATTTGAGGAGATATTGACTTAAATAAAGGATTATTAGGTTCATTTATAAATATTTAAAATTTTTAGATTTTTTAACAAACCAATGACAGCAATTAAATAATTTGAATTAATATGTTACAAGTATTCAATTATAGCAATAGTATTTTAAAGTTGGGCTAATAGTTCTTAATATTTTCTTAAGTAGTGATATATATATATATGTATATGAATACATGTAATAATGCATGTATGTATGGGGAAAAAACATTAGGGAAGAAAGCAATTTATTTATATTTGAGTAACAGAAAAATTTGTTGAAAATTTTCTATAACTCATAATTGACTTTTCAATTATCCTTTCAATACAGAGAGACTACCAATACATATAACATTTAAAGTACTTGTTAGATTTAGTCGAATTCTAGGAAATTTAAATATGAGATAAATTTCTAATGTTAATTTCAAAATTGTAACCTTTGACCTATTTTTGCAAGTTGGATAAGCATCTTCCTTCAAATTTTGTCCATACTGGCCATATCTGCCTGCTTTTATCAACTCTCTTACTAAATTGTATATCAGAAAGGGTCATTTCATTTTTCAACAGCCACACTGGACTGTTTTCTCAATCAAAGTGTATTTTTCTCAGTGATAGCACTGAGCCACTTAAGCTCCAGTGGTAATGTACCTTGGGGTGATCACATGTTTTAAAACTACGGAAACAGAGTTTTGCTCAGGCAGAATTAAATTGGATTCATTTCAAATAGATGAGATGAGGTTTGTTCAGCCATCCTGCAGGGATAGTGATAGGGCAGAAGTGTATTTCAGCTTTCACAGACTCAGAGAATATAGGAGTATTCATCAAAATTACCGCCATAAAGGACTGTTAATATTCCAACTTTAAAGTAAATATTCTTTAAAATGTTTTTTAAAAAGGAAGTTTTTATTTGAATGATAATCAATTTTTAGCCTGATGTTTACTTTAGAAAGATATAATTTATATCAAGAATAGGGACATTTACCAAAACTTCTGATCAAATGGTTCCTTTTCAATGTGAAGATATCAATATTGATAGTAACTTTGTATATGGATTATATAAAATATATAAAATTCATTTTACTTGGAATATGTAATTTTAAGTGTTTCCATAAGGCCCCCTAATTTTATGGAGCTTTCCAGAAGGCTAATCTCAGAAAACAAGTATTTGCAGAAATTATTGATGGTATAAAGTTTGTTGAGATTCTGAGAGCTTCTTGGGGTGGGGCAGGAGTATCATCAAGTGTTTTGGCTGCTGAATGCTTCCCCTCTTCCAGTTAAACTTGCAATGTCTTATGAGATGAGTAACTGTAAGCCAACATGAAGAGGACATTTTCTTCCTTTGTCTGTCCACATAGAATAGAAAATTGAGCAGTGCTGTTTCTGTTAAGATCAAGCTTCTGACATTGCTTCTGGAATGTTCTTTATAACACATTTTATGGTCTTTTTGTTCTTTCCTTCCAGAATATTTTATAAACTGCATATAAACTGTAGAGACTAGGAATCCTTAGTAGTGTATTTTACTTAGAGAGATTGTAGTATAATGGAAAGAGCATAGTAAATGAGGAGACCAGTTTCCACTTTTAACATAACCACCTACCTCATTCTGTGATGTGGACAACGTGGGACACATCATTGTACTTTGGCCTCGCTGCTTCTGTAAACTAAGTAGGTTGAACTAGGAATCTCTTGAGTTGTACTCAGCTCTAAAATTTTTCTTTGATTCTAGTGATGATGTTCTTAATTAGATCTTCTCATAATTATTTATCAAAACATAGATTTCACCTCTGTCTTCCATCATGTGGTCATGCAGCCCAGTCAGCCTGGATAGTACCTGTGCATACCCGATATTCAATGTAATTGTTAATCATATATTTTTGACTCCCAAAAGTATCCCATTTGGTCTATAAATTATATTGTACTCTACTTTTACAGCATATGTAAAATTAACCTTTGCAAGAAAATCATACTTCATAAGAATAATAAGTATTATGTCCTATTCTTTGAATTCAGAGCAAAATTTGATTCTGATATCCTTGCCTGGTTTTTAGAATCCATAACCTTTTTCTTTTTTTTTTTTTTTCACCTTGTTTCAAAATTCTTGAGAAAAGAGAGAGTATAAAGTTTTAGGAGATTCTGGTGTTTGACTGGAGGGACTACAGTTTGCAACTCTTGGAAAGAAATTAAATTATATAGTGAGACAGAATCAGTACATATGAGTGACAAATGTATTGGAGCAGTTCCATGGTGTATCACTTAGACACTTTTTTCAGGGTGGAGTTGCAAACCTACTCAAGGAAAGGAATTATTGAGAATTCAAGAAATATTATTGGTAGATTGTCAGAGATGTGCATTTCACATATGAGACATCCCATTAAAGTCAGTGGCATTTGATTCCCAGTTGGGTTGTCTGAAAAGGAACCCAATTAATGTTCATGCAAGAAAAGAATATTTGAATATATTGGACACTTCTGTTACTTGCTTGGAGGCTTTGGAGGTACTCTTGAGAAATGAATATTATTTGTTTCAAAAATGTAAGCAGAGTTCACACGTATTTGCTTGAAAGATATTTAGAGCTAACAAAATACATTTGGCAACTTCAAAGAACATATTTTTATTGGCTGGGCGCGGTGGCTCACCCCTGTAATCCCAGTACTTTGGGAGGCCGAGGTGGGTGGATCACGAGGTCAAGAGATCGAGACCATCCTGGTCAACATGGTGAAACCCCGTCTCTACTAAAAATA